CTTTAGTGTAAGGGTAAATAGTCTTAGCCACTTCGGGTGCATATGCAGTTTCTTTTATATCTAGTGATTGATTTCTAACCAAATGTACTTACCTTGTAAACATAACCGAAACCACCTTCTCCGAGTAGATTTTCATCAGAAAAGTTATTAGTAGCCACTGCTACAGTACTGAAATCAATCAATGCCAACTCTGGCTCATCATTGATCCTTTCCCCTGAGTAGAAGTCCTTACTTGTGAAAACAACCTCATTTAGCAGAAGAACTTGGCTTCTTCCACAAGGACCTGTTCAGAAATAAGCAAAAAACTAGAAAACAAAACACTTGGCTTCTTCCATAAGGACCTGTTGAACATATAGAATTAAGTTACCAGGCGCGTACCTTTTGGTTGTGTCCTTGCATTGCGGCTAATACGCAAATTCCTCTTCCATACAATGTAGAAACCAAGTCCTGCTAGAAGAATGACAAGACCAACTATAGCGACTACAATTATGATTGCTAGTGTTTCCTTCCCATCACCACCTGAAATGAAGATAACTGTAGTTAGTGATAGTTGATGTTATTATAAAGTAGTCTGAATAATGGAAGGTACCTATTTCAGACGGTGCCAATCGAACATAGAGATCTTGGCCACCATCTGCATATACCCTCATGTCCATTAGCTCCCTGAACCACATAACGCAACCTCTCCCTCCATTTGTAATCTCCATGTTACAATAAGCACTGCAAGAACAGTTCTCCAAACACTTCTCTTTACATGCCTCAAGGCTCATGTCCCTATCCACAAATGCACCCCAACTCTCAGGCAATTTCACACTCCTCAACCTCAAGAACTTGTCTTTCGTGCATTTCAATTCTCGTTTTCTCACACACCCATCTAACCCATTTCCCAAATTCCAGGCCTCCAAATTCTTAGGCTGAAACCCCCTCACACATTTACACACAGGTGAAGCATTTGTGTCACAAATACCAAATGGACCACACTCTCCATAGCTGTCACATTGGTCCTTTGGGGGATACTGAAATATATTCCACATCTTTGTGCTCTCAACCCATGTAATCTGTTGAACGTCCCCATTTGGACTCACTGTCAAGCCTGAATATTCAAGTTCCAGTTTGTTCTGTAATGAAAACGAGTAGTAGACCTCATCTTGTTTCGTAACGAAGTTGAAATCGACACCATGCTTCGAAGCACACATTTCCGGCACACCACTAAATATCATCCCATTCCAGGGGCCGGTTCGAAAGTTTTTAACATGTTTGTGCCAAAGGAAAATCTCCGGGAAGCCATGGTAATCTAGTTTGATAGAAAAGTCCCCTGTTGATGGGTCCTCTGAGCTTTTCCACGAGGTCAAGTGCCTGTTTAAACCTGTGCTCAAGTTCCATCCAAGCTTCATATCCGGAAGCAGAATGTGTGTGGGATAATCAAAGCTCTGCCAGAAAATTGTTTGGCTGTTTTCGGTTCCTTCTTTGATCACAAGATTGCCTGTATCCAAAAGCAGGACATTTGGTCTCAAAACTTGGGTGTGATTGGATGACCAAGTGACGTTTCCAGATGGATCAAGAAGGAAAATGTTTCCATGATCACCAGTCATCAAAAGAGCTCCTGATGAATTTGAAAGTGGGGTGTCTCTGTTGGCCACCCAAACAACTGTTCTGTTTTGGACATTTTTGTACCATATCCCCAAGTACCAGCCTGAATTATTGCCTGGCTTGAAGAAACCCAACTCAAAGACTTCACAGGGGGAGACAATGGTCATGTTTCCTTCGACCAATATATCTGGAGTGAAAGATAGGTCGTCTTCTAAGCTGGCAATTGGGGAGAGAGTAAGTAAACTGTTGAGGCACAAAATGGTGAAAAACAGAGACTGTTGCTTTGTTAAAGCTCTCATTTTTTTTTCTTTTCAATATCTCTTAGGGCGAAGAGGAAAACAGAGCTACTTTCACTCTGGCTTTTTATGTATTTTCTTGGTCTCTTCTTCAACTACGGCAGCAATATGGGCCAAAAATGGATTTTTTTTTAAATTTTAATTTTTTATATTTTACTTGGGGTGTTTTACAAATTCCCAATCTTTCGGATTCTCAATCAAAGACGAAATAATTGTGGTTTGATCTCATCTTGATTTGATTAACTTTTCCAAACTTGTATGTATGCATGATTTGTCCCAATATTTACTTTCCTTAGCTTCATCATTCTCGATTTACTTGAATTGAAATTGATCACTGACATTTGATTGCTTTCCAAATCATGTTTTTATTTCGCAGGGTTAAATTAAAGTAATAAACAACTTTAAGAAAATTGGCATAATTTTCTAATTTTTCGTAGGCATTAATTTATTTTTCATAACAGATAATATTATATTATAGGGCTCGACATGCTTCATTTGGGAAAAAGAGTCTAGCCCGCTTTCAAATTTTTAATTCTAAAAATCCTATTTTTCCTTTTTCAATGTCAATTTAAGATTTGGTTGGTAGTGATGGATTATTTGATTCTTTCTTTAATTCCGTTATTACCATCAAGGGCATTGTTTTGCAACCAAGGATTGACTGCTTTGAGTTTAAGTGGATCTATGGCGATCTATAATAAAAATAATAATGATACATCACACCAAGAATAAGACAAAAGTATCCAATCAAGAAAGGTCCAGTCTAGTATCTACGTTTGGGAAAATCTTCATTTACCGTCCCAACTCCAAGAGAGAAAAGGGGTTCTTTTCTTTTCTATACAAGAAGGAAAACCTTCAATGTGTGTGAGGAGAAGGAACAACACTTGACAAACAATGACCAAAAGTCATAGCATTGTGATGTATATAACAATTTGCTATTATCGTCCTTGAATCACTGTTATGGTAGCTTCATTTCCGGAGTAGATATTGTCATACTTTGGTTGAGGATCAGAGACTGACTTTTGTACAGTAAATATAGGCCGGTTAGGTTGCGGACGATCTGTCTCAGTACTTAGCATGGAAACTACATCTGGCATGGTTGGCCTATCTGCTGCATTATCCTGTACACAAAGAAGACCAATATGCACACATCTCATCACTTCTGACGGTGAATATGAATTTGCCAATACTTCATCAACCAACTCCAATCCCCTGCCTTCATTCCATGAGTGCCATGTCTGACAAATTTCATGTATGTTTGGCCTGAATCGTTAGACTCTGCGACATTTAGCTTCATATATATATATATATGTATATATATAGGTTGCTTAAGCTGTATGAAAGAAAAAATTTAGCAATAAGATTTAGAGTCTGAGCTTACATAAGCTAGGAACCCTAGCTGTTGGTCACTGCAATAGAAGCTGGTATTCTTTTTGCCACTAATAATCTCCAACAGCAAGACCCCAAAGCTATAGACATCAGATTTTTCAGAAAACATCCCGCCCATGGCATACTCCGGAGACATATAGCCACTATACAATCAATTGAGTAGTATTAAATTGACAAAATTGCTTCTTTGTTTATAGTCTTGAGAAAAATGATACTAGAAAAGTTAAATCTAGATGCTATGCTATGCAACTAATTTTCGGTTAATTATGAACACAAACAGAAGGGAAGAGGAGTTAGTTAAAATTGCAAGGGTAGTAGATTGAAGCGCTGGTACAGCTTGATTTACCAACATGTCAAGCCCAATGTTCGAAACAAGGTGGTAGGCGGGCTGCAGGCAGGGGTCTAATGCCTAGAGGAGTAATGGGGGCCCGTCTCTCTTTCTTTTTTCTTTTTTTTCTTCTTTGTTTCAACAACATATAAATGCAATTTTCCTTCTCAAACCCTAACTCTAACACGAGCCGTCTTCCAGCCCCTCTCTCTTGCTCAGACATAACCCATGACCTCTCTTCTTTTTCAATCCTCATCTCTCTCTGGCTCATAGCACCATCGTCATCTCGTCATGACCTTGGAGATTCCAAAATGGCGTTTGTTTTTCTCCAGGCGCTAGAGACAGCCTAGCCCGCCTTCCTAGACAGCCTAGCGCCCGCCTAGTGACCGCCTAGATCGCCTAGCTCCTGCCCACCGACCGCCTAGACCGCCTAGCCACCCTAGCCCCCTCCTAGGCCATTTATTCAATAATATTAACAATATGAGTGACAGTGTCTTCAAGGATATAACTTCTAAAGAAGATTTTTGAGAATTGGAAAAGAAAGAGATGATGCTTACATTGTTCCCACAACCTTGTGAGTATTTGCTAGACTCTGCGTGCTTTGAACGATACGTGCCAATCCAAAATCTGAAATTTTTGGGTTCATGTTCTCATCCAAGAGAATGTTACTGACCTTCAAGTCTCTATGTATTACCTTCAAACAGGAATCATGGTGGAGATAAAGAAGCCCTCTAGCAACACCCTGAATAATCTTGAAGCGTCGACCCCAATCAAGCACTGCTCCTCCTGTCATTGGATCTACAATGCACCAATTCAAAATATAACAGTACTGTCATTAATACATCCCAACCCCATGCACTTCACAATGAAAAAAATTGACCACCACTAGGTAACAAAGAGCAATGAAACTAACTGAATAGAAGAGTATCCAAGCTTCCATTTGGCATGAACTCGTAAATTAGTAACTTCTCATCATCCTGGACAGAGCAGCCCATGATCCTAACGAGATTTTTATGTTGCATTTTGGAGATCAACAGCATCTCATTCTTGAACTCTTCTATGCCTTGCCCTGAGCTACTAGATAGTCTTTTTACTGCTATTTCCTTCCCTTCTTGCAGTTTACCCTACATTGCATAATTGCATTCATGTTTGTATCTTCTAATAGTAGTTGTAGGCATGTAGTAGCTGCAGTAATACTAATATTTTCCAATAGAAAAAAGACAAAATAATTTTAACAATCACCTTGTAAACAGGGCCAAATCCTCCTTCCCCGAGTTTGTTTGTGATACTGAAATTGTTCGTAGCAAGTAATATGTTATCAAAATTATAGATGAGTAACTCTGACCGATCATGCCGTCTGATATATTCTTGAAGAGTGTTACTTGAATTCCCAATGGTATCATTCAATTCAATGAACTTTCTTGTTACTTTGATGTTTCCTGATTTGGTAAATGTAACAGACAAATAAGGGATGCTCAGAGCAAAGCAAAACACAGAAAAGTAGGAGCAGTTAATCACCCCACCTTCTTCATCATAGCAAGTCTATCAAGTTCAGAAAATCAACCAGTAAATATGCTCTTATAAAGATACTCATGGATTTGATTAATACTTTAGAGAGAGATCATTCTCTTACCCGTTTGTTTTGCTCGCAACCTGTGCAAAATGAACACTATGGCAGCCAAGACACACATAAAACAAATAGCTACTGTGAGGCTAACAATTAACCTTGTTCGCTTTCCTTCACCTGAAAAAATGAATTTGTAATGCATAAAGTATGAGACAGAAGAGTGAAAAGTTATGGCTAGTGCAAGCAATATTATCACTTACCAGATTCTGTGCGTAGGCGAATAAAAAGATCTTGTCCAGCAGATGAAAACTCCTCAACATCAATAATGTCTTTGGACCAGACCAAACACCCTATATTATTAACATATGTATAGGCCAAGCAAGAACAATTATCTAGACACTGTCTCCTGCAGTTTTCAGTACTCAAAGACGAAATATACTCATGAAAATCTGGTAGTTTTACTCTTGACATCTTCCAAAACCCATCGTCATTTCCTCTCGAACCAACTGACTGATTTGTGTTACTCTCACAAAACAATTTGGTTTTCCTCACACACCCTCCTGCCCTGTTTCCTTTGCTCCATTCCTCAAGTGACTTGGGAACAAACCCTTTCAAACACTTGCAGATTGGAGATTCAGAAGCTTTGCAAGCCCCAAAAGGTCCACATGCTCCATAATTGTCACATGGACTCTTTGGGGCTTCCCAGAAAGTATTCCAGTTCTCACCATGTGTCGAATAGATAAGCTTTAGTACACCCTCTGAAGAGATGTCCATATATGCTGCCACAGTTTTGTCAAATAAACTAAAAGAGAAATACTTTGTTCCCAGTTGCGCATTTTCATCTAGATAAAATCCACTTTGATATTGATCATCCATTTCGGGTACGCCGATGAACTTTGATTTATCCCATGGCCCGCTTCTCCAGTTGAGAGTTGATCCATTGATCCAAACCACCAACTGTGAAGGCACCTCTGGTCTCAATCCAGCCAAGAATATCCCAGTTGATGGATCACTCTCACTTTTCCAGGCACTCAAGAAATTCCTCTTTCCTGATTTACTATCAAATCCCAGCAGCATACTAGGTAGAAGTGTGTCACTAGGATAATCAAAGCTCTCCCACAAATGATCAGCTGCTCCTGCATTGACTTTGACAACAAAGTTTCCATCGTCTAAAAGAAGGGCGGCTGCTGACCCATTAGATGGCACTGAAACATTATTTGACCAAACAGAATTCTGCTTCCCATCTACAAGTTCCAGAGTCCCATTGCGGCTAATTCTCAAACTAGCCACGGTATCTGCAACTGCAAGAGGCTTTTCTCTGTTGGCCACCCATACAACTTTACGAGGAAGTATATTCTGGTACCATATCCCCACATATTTATTAGCAGCAGAATTATTAGGACTGAAGAATCCCAACTCGAATAAGTTGCCTGGGGAGACAATAGTTTGTCCCTCTGCTAATGGTCGCGACGGAGTTATGTCATGAACTTGAGAACAACACTGTAATGGAAGCAAGCTGAACAGCAACAGGATGAAGATGGAGAAATTTAAAGCACTAAAACCTTCTTTTCCAGTATCCATTTGCATCCCAGTATCTTCTGTTCATAAAAAACAACTTTGGGATACTTTCCTTCAAGCTTGTTAGCTTGTCAGATGCAAACCTTATCAATAGCAAATGGATCATGGATGCACATTTTTGAAGCTTGTTAGCTTTCTCACCCAACAAGGGGTATCTAATTTCTGTTCTCTCTATCCTAGAAATTTCATCTTCTCTGGTCGAGATGGTCAACCTTGTCACCCTCCTCATTTCAGTACTTTTGGGATTGGATTGATACAAGTTGTTGTAATGGCTTTTTTCTTATGCTTGGTGAAATTCAATTTCTATATCCACTTGCCTTGTCTTGCCTCCCCTGTTTTCGCATTAGGTGGCTAAGGCTTTAACTTATTTTCAAAAATAAATATAAAATAAATGTTGGGTTGTATCTTGTTGACTGTTTGACTCAATAATGCGGTACCGATGACTGCCACGTAGGACCAGAAAATGCTTTGAAAAATTCATTCCCAACAAAGCCCTTAGGCCTTGGCTCTCTTAAGAGAGACAAATATGTAAGAGTCTCTGACAGAAAAAAAAAAAAAAAAGGGAAAACTGTTATTGATTTTGAAAGATTTTTTTTAAGTGACAGATTTCCTGAAATTGTATAACTCCTATAGGTTTTATCTGGATTTGTTAATAAACTTGTATAAGCTTTTATTATAGACTTTCATACTTTGGTATGAGCTTTTGTTATAGATTCAGATATATTTGCATAGACTTCCCAATATTATTTGCTTTTATCACTCTTTCTTCCCAACACTACTTTCTTTAAACTATCTTGACCTAGCCAATAGTCGACCATCCCTTTTTTTTTTTTGAGAGACTCCAATATAAGCCCATACAACTGATATCCTCTAGACACAAACCCATCTATCTATATAACTACGTTGAAAACCCAAATTCAAATTTAAATGACCAGTAGGATATAAGAGGTCGTAGTATTTCTATGTTTTTACATCGTTGCCACTAAACTTCATATTTTATTTATAATTTATTTCAAGCATTTCATTAACTGCCATAATTGTAATTAATATACTCCCTATTAATAGCATATCAATCACCCCATTTCTTTTAGTTGTCATTCCCTCTCACATCTCGCCC